ATGTGGCAACCATCTGACCAAAGTGGCATTAAACCACCCAGATAAATGTGGCAACCATCTGACCAAAACAGGTCTCATCTTTCCGTCAATATTAGATGTAGCAGTAGAATTATTATGGCTCTAACAACTTTATAATAATTAGCCATAATTAAAAAAACTGTAGTAGCAGGAGAGGGGGGGGGGGGGGGGGGGGTAGGGTGGGGGGGAGGGAAGAGAGGGAGAGGGAGGGAAGAGAGGGAGAGGGTGGATGAGATAATTTATCTTAGGGGGAAAAGAGGTAACACCTTGCCAAACCGCAAAAAGTTTATTTAAACTAAAGGTACTTGGCTAGCAGACTCCAAGTAGTGCACCAACAATATTCCAAACTTGCCTAGCAAAACAACATTGAAAAAATAAATGCTGAGATGATTCAGCGTCTCTCTTACATATATAGCAAATAGAAGCCAGCTTCAACCCCTTTAGCTTTAGTATGTCATCTAGAGGCAAGAAGGAATGAAAGTATCTCCAAAGAAAAAAAGAGATAGAAGGAGAAATAAAAGAGTGCCATATGGAAGTGCTCCATTTCCATTTGTGATAGCAGTGAGTATTTGTATATAAAATTTTAGTTATAGAGCCTGCAGAAAGAAATTTCCACATAGGTTTATCTCTACCCCCATTGAGAATTGGGATAGTGGAGACAGAAGGAGCTAAATCTCCAACCAAGGATCTCAGCATATTGATATTCCAATTTACACCATCACAAACATAAGAAACCAACAAGTTTGAAGTAGTATCAGAATGTGGAAGAGTGATAAGGTCTGATGTGCCCCACTGGTCATGCCAAAATGAGATTTTACCGTCTCCAACTTCCCAAAAAATAAACTTAGTAGTTATAGTTCTAGCAAGGGTTATAGCCTTAGAATCACTGGTTTTCCAAGCCACAATAGATGGGTGAGCAGTGTGACAATATTTATGATAGAGAAATTGTGCCCAAAGGGGCTCCCCCGCTCGAAATTTAAACCGAAGCTTGTACATATTTATATAAACAATTTGCTGCAAAGTTTTAAAGTCAAACCCTCTAGAAAACCCTGGCATAGAAACTCTAGCCTAATCAACCCAAATTTTGAGCGAACCAGACCCAAGCCAAATAAATTTATTAAAGAGGATTTCAAGATTTTTCAAAGTGCTTTTTTTGGCTTTAATAACTTGTAAAGCATAAAGATGCAAACTGCAAAGAACACTTTTAAGCAAGGTGAGTCTGCCACCGTTAGACAGAAAAATGTTTCTCCAATCATTAATCCTTGATTTAATTTTATCTTCAACCTCATCAAGTTGATTTTCCTTCCTCCGACCCCTAAAAAAATTCAACCCTAGATATTTAATAGGGAGCTTAACAGTTTTACAACTAGTATAATCAGTGGCCCAAATTTCAATATGATGGGGAACATATTTGCCAAAGTAAATAGAGCATTTAGATCTGTTGAAAAGGAGGCCAGAGGAGCTCTCAAATTCCTCTAAAACATTCATAATGTCCTTAACGACATTCTTATTAGCATTAGAAAAGATAATAGCATCATCAGCATAACAAGGTGACTAACCAAGATCTTCAATTTGTGAGTTTATTGTATGTGGGGTGTTGGAGTTGTACACGATTGATAAGCCGAGAGAAGTAATCAAAAGCAATAATGAACATAGTAGGAGAGAGAGGATCCC